TTTTTTTTTTTTTTTTTTTTTTTTTTTTTTTTTTTTTTTTTTTTTTAAGGCAGTTCTTCATTCTAGCTGGAGCTGGCTGTGATCCAGGCTGGCCTCAAAATCATGGTTTTCTTCCTACCCTAGTCTTTCAAAAGCTGGGATTACAGAAGCAAGCCATCACTCCTGGCTTGGTTCTGTTTTTTAAGACCACCATGCCTGAGCATCCTTTCTTCTTATTATGTTATATTTTATTTTACTCACTTTATGTGGGTGGCACATGCCACAGAATGCATGTGTTAGGGTATAGCCTCTGGGAATTATGTTTCTCCTTCCACCCTGTTGGTCCTGCGTATCCAATATCAAGCTTGGGTCAAACACATTTACCACTGAGCATCTTGCTGACCCCAAGGGTTCTTTTATTTCAAACACTCCAGTTTCATGCCTTTTTACCGCAGAGTAGTAATGTAGAGTTTAAATCTGGCCGTACTCACCAGAAGCAGTTTGGTGGGGCTGGCAGGGTATCTGAGGAGAGGCAGGGTTATGTTTGCACAGCTTGTCTGGAATGCCTTGCAGGTCAACCTGTTGACCTTCAGCCTTCCTGATGTTATTCCAACTTGTACTGAGATCTGGGTTAAATGGGAACTGTCTCTTTAAGAACTGGCTTAGTGGCCCGCCCTCTAAAGGGATCAGCAGGAAGGGAGTCATGTGACTGAGGCTCCTCCACTGAATTAAATTTGCTGTGGCTGTGGCTGTATGTTCTGTTGTTGGGGACCTCGCTGGGGCTGGGTCCCCTGTGCCCCAACCCCATGGCTCCTTTTGGGTCTACTTGTGTGTGCAGCTCCATTTGGCCTGCTGGGAGAAGAGACTCGCCAGGTAAGGGCTCGGGAAACAGAGTAATAGATGTTTCCGGAAATACTACCTTTCTAGGATGACTGGAATCTGGGGCAACGGGTGGAAGGTGAATGCAAGAGAAGTATCAACCCAGCGAGCCCAGTTTTGAGCCATGAATGGTGGGATGGATTGTGGAGGGCAGGCATGAGTGCTTCCTGCTTTCTGGTGATGCCTGAATCATGGCTCAGATATTGCAGCCCAGAACAGGCAAGCCTGGGGACTTAAAAAGCCTACTTAGCCCCATGCCTTGCCCTCTTCGCCAAGGTGAGGGTAATTCTGGACCTGCCCCACCTCTTCTCAAACCTACGTCTGCCCCTGATTTCAACATCCCCTCAGTTTCTACACATCCCTCTTGCCTAGGCTTCAAGAGCCCTTGCCATCCCTGGTGTGGTCCAGGGCCTGTCTTCCACCCATAAGCTGCTTCTGTGCCTGTGATCATCCCTGATCTTGCTCTCTGCATCCCACTACCTCATGTTCCAGGTGTCTATGAAGGTTATTTCTGGCTGGCCAAATCCCCAAAACCTGCTTCATATCCGGGCAGTGGGTAGCAACTCTACCCTGCACTACGTGTGGAGCAGCCTAGGGCCTCCAGCTGTGGTGATGGTGGCCACCAACACCACTCAGAGTGTGCTGAGTGTCAACTGGAGTCGCCTGCTCTCTCCGGATCCTGCTGGGGGGCTGATGGTGCTCCCCAAGAACAGCATCCAGTTTTCTTCTGCTCTTGTCTTCACCAGGGTGAGGGTCTTGGAGGAGCTCAGAGAGAAGAGCACAAGAAGAGAGTCCATCCTACCCCGAGGGAGAGGGAAGGGTTTAAGACAGGGTGGGTGAAGTGGATGAAGTTTTGGGTGGGGTGACTGGGAGGGATATGCAAGAGAAGGCCAGAGGGAGGCAAGCCTCACCCCACTCCACCCTGTCCCTAGCTGCTTGAGTTTAACAGCACCAAGGTGTCGGAAGGGGCGCAACCCCCAGGAAAACCATACTCTCCATACTCCTTGGCCAAGTTCTCCTGGAACAATATCACCGAATCACTGGATCTTGCCACCCTGAGCACCATTTTTCAAGGCCACCCTGTAGAGGACCCCACTGGTGCATTCGCCAATGGCAGCCTGGCCTTCAAGGTGAGGGTATGGGGAAGGTACTCAAAAAGCTGAGTCATGAGCATGGGAGGATCTCTCAAACACCATTCTCCCCACATGGCTTCCTCTTTCTTCGTAGGTCCAGGCCTTTTCTGGATCTGGTCGGCCCGCTCAGCCCCCTCGCCTCCTGCATACAGCAGATGTCTGCCAGCTAGAAGTGGCCCTAGTTGGAGCTTCTCCTCGTGGAAACCACTCCCTATTTGGCCTAGAGGTAGCCACCTTGGGTCATGGCCCTGACTGCCCCTCAATGAAAGAGCAACACTCCATCGATGATGAATATGCGCCTGCCGTCTTCCAGGTCAGGTTTCCAGTGGGAGACAGATGGCTGGGAATATAAAGTGGGAATATAAATATAAAGGATTTATATAAAATATAAATCCTAGTAGCACCCCAGAAAATCCACCAACCACTTATTACTTTTTAAAAAGATTTTTGTTTCCTTGTTTGTTTTAAGATTTATTTTTTTATTTTATTTTATGTGTATTGGTGTTTTGCCTTCATGTATGTCTGTTTGAGGGTGTCAGATCCCCAAGAACTGGAGTTACAGATAGTTGTGAGCTGCCATGTGGATGGTGGAAATTGAACCAGGGTCCTCTGGAAGAGCAGCCAGTGATCTTACCACTGAGCCACCTCTCTAGCCCCAAAAGATTTGTTTTTTTATGTGTGTGTGTGTTTGTGTGCATGTGTGTATAGGTTTCTATGGAAGCAAGAAGAGGGTATCATGTACCCTGGAGCTGGAATTATAAAGGGTTATAAGCCTCCTGACATGGGTGCTAGGAACAAAACTTTTTTTTTTTTTTTTTTGCAAGAGCAGTAAGCTCTCAGACACTGAACCATCAGTCCACCAACACCTATTTTTAAAAGGTTTTTGTTTTGTTTTGTTTTTTGAGACAGGATCTCCCTATATATCCCTGGCTGGCCTTGCACTCTTGGCTATGCAGACCAGGCTGATCTTGAACTCACAAAGATTCATCTGCTGCTGCCTTCTGAGAGCTGGGAATAAATGCATGCACCACCACACATGGTCCCCGTTTAACTTCTCTGGCTCCTCTTAGTGTTGGGTTGTACTGATTTGCTGCCTTCCAAGGAAGCAGACAAAACCAGTGCTGCTTCATGATCTTTGGCTGAGATTGTCCTTAACCTGGAGCCCAGGGGGAGCAAAGGCAGGGTGGCAGCTCTTTCACCTTCTCTATAGAGAAGAGACCGGGCCTTACTACAACTAGCATGTCAATTCTACAGCTGTGCTCATTGGCCTTATTGCCTGAACTGTTAATGACGGATAACTGTTAATGCAGTCTGGGAGAGATGGCACAGGTTGCTCCATCTCACCCTGCCTTCTTTGCCTTTCTCTCCAGTTGAACCAGTTGCTGTGGGGCTCATCACCATCTGGCTTCATGCAATGGCGACCGGTGGCTTTCTCTCAGAAGCAACGGGCCCGGGAATCAGCCCTCCCCTGCCAGATTTCCTCTTTTAACCCTACCTTGGGATATTCTCTCCCTCACTCACCAATTGTCCAAGCCTTCTTTGGGTCCCAGAACAACTTCTGTGCCTTCAATTTGACCTTTGGGACTCCCACAGGCCCTGGCTACTGGGACCAACACTACCTCTCCTGGTAAGAACCAAGGGTCTGGGGAGGTCAGAGTGGAGAAAGGCTGAGCCCCTCAACCTTCCTTTCTAAGCTTGCTAACCTCTCCTATTTTTATTTTTTTAACCTTCTTGTTCCAGGTCAATGCTTCTGGGCGTGGGCTTCCCTCCAGTGGACACCTTATCTCCACTAGTCCTTGGAGTCATGGCGGTGGCCCTGGGAGCTCCAGGCCTCATGTTGTTGGGGGGAGGCCTGTTTCTGCTGCTGCGCCACAATCAGTATTCTGAGTACCAGTCCATAAATTGAAACCTGCTCTCCAGCGGGAAGGGCAGGAGCACATCTGCCTTGCTGTGCCTCAAACTGTCAGAGGGTGGAGGATCAGCATTGTGAACTGCTTTTCTGCAGCCCCTCAGAAGCCCGCCTCAACTGAGTACTGGGGCCTCTGAGTAGGTTGTCCTTCCTAACCCACAGAGAGGTAGAATAGCTGGGAGAAGGAAGGTTCCCACTGGCGCTTCCTCCTTTTGTCATTTGCCATTCCCATTTTCCTTGGATGAAACTTGAAGGCCTAAGTGAGAGTGACTGTTGTCTTCCCTAAGGGGAATAAAATAGACTTTTTTTCATACAAGAGTCCAATCTCTGTCTAATGTATTTTATTACATTTGAGAGTGTTTTGCTTGCTTGTGTGAAAATGCACGGTATGTGGTGTGTGTGTGTGTGTGTGATGCCTGTGGAGGTCACTAGATCCCAGTTCGAGGATGTTGTTAATGGAAATGGAACCAGAGTCCTTTGCAAGGGCAACAAGTACTCTTACTTGCTAAGCCGTCTTTCTAGCCCAGATTCCAGTCTTAATGTGTGAATGCTGTAGGACTGGTTTAGGACAGTTTCAGTAAATAGGAAGACCCAAAGATTGGCGTGGAAGGCAGTTTCTCTCTGGGAGCCTGTTTTCTCACCAGTCCTAGTGGTCTCTCTCCAAGGCTCCTGACAACCACCCTCCACCCCTTGGTGCTAAGAGGTCACTTGTGCCCTGGGGTGGCAGGGCGTGGGGGATGTAGCAGAAAGAAAGAGCCACGGGAGGCTGGCAGTGATTTATTACATTCTCACATATATACCCTGGGCTAACAGCCACTCCACCATCCCAGCCACCATGTAAGTACATACAGTTCTTATGCAGGTTTCATCTCTCTGCCCCTTCCCACCTTTACAGTAAGACAGTGGGACTTCTCTGAAGTTTGAAAAGTGGAAGGATACAGAGACCCATGAAGGTTGGGAGAGAGAAGGCAGTAGCTATAATAGTCTTGACTGAGGCAAAGAGTCTTGAGGCCAGTGGTACAGGGTCTTGAACCCAGGCCCCCTAGGAAGGTTTTCACCAAATGTCAAAGTCTTTATATGACGTGATACCAACCTCTACCCTTGGCCTTTGGCAGTTTTTCCATCTCCTTGACTCTCACCTAGACAACTGGCATGGATAGTTCACGCGTGTGGCTTCAGCTCTTCACCCCTGACCCACAGGAAGCTGGGGAGTGAGGTAGCTGTCCAGCTTAGCTCCTGGGGCATGGTGTGAAGCTGCAAAGGAAGAGTGCTTCTCCAGTCTCTCCCTGGGGCACTCATGCTCTAGGCGTAAAGCAGCAGCTAGGAGAGAATAGGGGTACCTGGGTCCCCCTGCGTGGGACCCTATGGGGAAGGTTCCTCACATTAAAGGTCCATTGCCTGGGCAAAGGCCAGGCCTGCAACTGTTTCAGGGAAGTGCTTAAAAGCCCCCTGCACAGCTCTAGGATGGTTCAGCCCCATGAGCGGGGCCTGTAGTCGGAGATAGATCGAACATGGTCCGGATAGTCCAAGCGGCTCTCGGAGGCAGTGAGCATGCGTTCTGGCTCCACCACGAACATGTAATAGAGGTTCCACACCAGCATGGCCAACAGAGGCAGGAAAGTCAGCCCATAGCCAAAACCTCGGAATGAGCGGCCCACCGCAAAGGTCAGCCAGTATATCAGCCTGTGGAAACATGACAAGGGCCCAGCCAATTGGTCAGTAGACAGCAAGAGGAAGATGGGAATGGTTGCCAAGGCTGGTTCTGCTGCAAAAGCCCAGTTTATATGTTTGTTTACAACGTAAACTGAACTGCATCAACGTCTCACCTTACTCTCAACTGTTCTGTTTGTGACTTTTTAGTTGGTTTTTGAGTCAGAGTCTCACTGTATAGCCCTGAATGGCCTCCAACATACACTGATTCTTCTGCCTTAGCTCCCTAGTACTGCTGGGGTTACAGGCCTTCGTTAAGGCTGGTCTCATTCTAAGACATGGCCAGTGTGTTCCATATTTACCCTTTGCAGATAAGAAACCAAGATCCTGATGGGTGTCTTAATCCCAGCACTCAGGAGTCAAAGGCAGGCGAATCCATGAGGTTGAGGCCATCCTGGTCTACACAGTGTTCCGGGCCAGCCAGGGCTCTCTATGTACAGATTCTGTCTCAAACAAAACAAAACAAAAGCTCACTTTTAATGTTCAACAGGCTGAGGCCAGCCTGATTTACACATCTTAAGGCTACTGTCTCCATGAAATAAAATCAAAGTCCCTGATAACTCCAAACCAAATGAGAAGAAGAAAGAAGCCATGAGAGTGAGCTGGCCTCTTTGTGAAGAGGTTAGCGCTCTTAACCCAGGCTCTGTTCACCGACAAGCCCATTTCCTCTCCAGAGAGCAAAGGGATCAGAGCCATTCAACCTCTAGAGGAGGCCGTTTTCTGTGTAGGCCCTGATTTATTGTCCAGTGTCTGAATCATGAAGGTCAACGTCAGGGCAGTTCACTTATTTGTCTCATTTTGTGCCCTGAGACAAGGTCATAGTTCTGCCGTGCAGGTTGAACACGCTATGCAGTTGGGGCCAGTGTGAACTCTTGGCAGCCCTTTCACCTCAGCTTCCTAAGTACTGTGATTGCAGGCCTGCATGAGCCACTACATCAGATTTTAGCACTGTCTAAGGAAGAACTTCCTAGTCATTAAAACTCAACACTGATGAGGGAGGGGACTACAGCTGGGATACAAAGTGAATAAACTGTAACTTACACAAAAAAATAAAATTAAAAAAAAAAAAAACACCTCAAAACAGGAAAGGGGTGTGATGGCACTTGAGCAGCTGAGACAGGAGGATTGCCAAGAGTTTCTATCTAGGCTGCACGATGAGATGGTGACTGTCTCAAACAAAATAAAACAGAAAATGCTCCACATTTTGTGTTCAGCAATTTTTTTTTTGTTTGTTTGTTTTTGGGTTTGGTTTTGGCTTCTCTGTGTTATAGTCCTGGCTGTTCTGAAACTCACTCTAGACCAGGCTGGCTTTGAACTCAGAGATCCACCTGCCTCTGCATCCCGAATGCTGGGGTTACAGGCACGCTCCGCCGCACCCCACTGCTTTCACCAATTTTTAAAGCTACTTGAATGGAATGTTGTAAGCTAGGTGTTGCCTCAGTGGACACACTAAATGACAAATGAGGTTAGGGTGGTTGGTGCTGTGCTTAGATGTGTGAAGCAATGGATTCAACCCTCTGTACTAAAATAAATTATAGTCAATAGCTCCCCACTGCCATGCCTCTGAAACCAACTTCTGAAAGAGAGGAAGACAGGAGCCACCACCACTACCCAGTGAAACTCAAGAGACAGAGTGGACTCATCACGACATGGTACACAGCCAGAACCAGCCCCTACACCACACTCCCATCCCCGACCTCAGGTCTCCAGAGGCCATGGAGAGGTACCCCCATGCCTACCCTCGCCCCAACTCACCGAGATATGGCAAACAAACCGGTGAGCAGGGGGAGCAGCTTGAGCGTGTCCTGCGGCAGGTAGGTGGACAGCACAGCCAGGTTGAAGAAGTAGAGGATGAAGAGCTGCACGGACTGAGCCACGTACTGCCGGTGGATCTCCACTTCTCGCCTTGGCTCCCCGAAGGGTCGAAGAGCAGAAAAGCATAACAGGCTCAGCCCATACACAAGGAGCCCTGGCAGGGAGGAAGCACGCAGGGTCACAAAAGGCAGGAGGGCTGGGATGGGTCTCTCAGAAGATGGCTCTTGGGTCAGGGTTACAGAGAAGACACAAGTGCTCCCTGGAGAAGAGGCAGAGAGTGGCAGATTGGGGATGCCCCGAGTGGTTCCAGCAGAATGAAGAGAAACCACCCCCATCCAAGCCTCTCTAGTCCATTTCTTCACAGCCCAGACTCACCTAACACGATGGGGAAGGTGGCAAAGACCCCACAGCGTAGGGTGTAGACCAGGCGGGAGCTCATGGTGGGCAGCCTCGGGGCATCGAAGGGCAGGAAGGCATAGGCTCCGTACAGCAGGCAGGGGAAGAAGACGAGGGCGGCCACCACGGAGGCTACAGCTCTCAGCACCTCGCGGCCTCCACAGCTCCCACAGCCCCCGCAGGACCGGCTAGGCGGTCTCACGACTGCCTCAGCCCACTTACGCTCTGGGGGCTCAGGGTGGCTGAGTCGGGCCGGCAGGAAATTCCTGTGCTCCCCCGGCGCCTTCTCCCGATGCACGATTCGCTCCTCCTGCGGCTCCCGCTCTATGCAGTGCAGGTCAATGGGCACGAAGGCCCTAACCGTCTTCTCAAGGAGCAGGTTGGTGTCATCTTTGAATGGTTCCTCCGACTTAGTGGGTGCTTCCGACTCCAGGGGCTCTGGTTCAATGTCTCGCCAACCCGGGGGATCCGGAAGTGGGGCGCTGGGATGAGGGTCAGTTCCCCAGGGCAGAGTGGCGGCCTCACTTATTGTGCTGTCTGGACCATCCTCCGGCCCCTCTCTGACTATAGGAGAACCAACTGAAGACCCCACTCTGAGGGACTCGGCTCCAGGGGACTCAGTACTGCCCTCTTCCTCTGGCTGCCGGCCAGGGGCCACTAAAGCCTGCGGTGGGCTCTTCTCTGCAGCCTCCTCCGGTTCCTTCATTTCCAGCAGGGCTAGTGTCTCCGGTTCTGTCATTGTGAAGCTTCAGTTCTGAGGTCTACCACAAGGCGAAATCATCCTAAAGGGAGTGGGGAAGCTCTGGGAAAATACCTTGTCTTCTGGCCTTAGGACAGTTTCCCAGACGTAGAACTGGCCAGAGCAGCTGAGCAGCCGTCCCTGTGGGACTCTTGGGAGCACGCAGTGTGGAGGAAGGTGTTGAAACAGAGAGGCGGGCAGCAGAGGACTGAAATGGAGGCACACTTTCAAAATAAATGTCATCCAGCAGGACAAGGGTGAAGCAAGGGCCACAAGCCCTGGCAGCTGTGGCCACACCTGCCTTTACTCTCTCCACCAAAACTCCTGGATTCATGGCCACCCCAGCTAAGAGCTTCTTTACAAGGGAGGATCATCCTACAGAGAAACTGTCCCTTCACCCTTCCACCTGCCCTTTGCCCTGCAGAGCCCTGCCTGGAACTCTTGGCGGCTGATACCAGTTGCCAACGCTGGGTTCCTTCGTCTTCCTTCCAGGAGCCAGTCCTTTTCTAAACTTCCCCCCTTGCCAGTCTCCCGCAATTCAACCCGGCCGGGCTTCACTCAGACCGTCAGTCTACCATGGCTGTCCTCTTGTCTTTCTTCCCCACCAACCCTCCAGCTCACTGCTTCTGGATAGGGCTCTTTCTCTTGGTCTGCCTCTAGGGCCCCTCCTACCCCTGCCCTTTGGACCCATGATACCCTCTTACTTTACATCAGCAGAGAGGTGGAGGATCCCCGGAAAGGAACTGCCTAGCTCCTGGCTGGCTCTGCAAGTATTTCCCAGTCTCCCTCCTCTTACCTGTGTCTCCAAACCTGTCTGACCAGAGCAGGTGGGGCCCAGATTAAAGGCGCAGGCCCTGCCCTACAGAATCTGCCTACTGGGAGAACTCTACAGGAGGACGTCATCCTTTTTGAAAGTAAAGGTGCAGCTGGCCATAGAGGTGTGGACTTGAGGTATTCTGGGATGTGTAAGAGCTTCCAGCTCAGGAAAGCATCAGGGTAAAAGTGGGTTTATGTGCCAAAAGAGTGCTTCGAGTAAATTGGGAAAAAGATGACATCTGCAAGTTTGTTCATTCAGGAAATTCAAGTTTGTTCATTCATTGAGTATCTGTTATTAATAATAAGCTATTTTTGTGGTGGCACATGCCTTTAATCGTAGCACAGGAGGCAGAGGCAGGTGGATCTCTGTGAATCTGAGGCCAGGCTGGTCTAGCAGCCAGAGTTTAGAACAGCCAAAGCTGCATAGAGAGACCCCGTCCCCAAAACAAAAAAAATTCCAATGGACTAAAAAGTGCTAGTCTAAGCCAGGCGAGGTGGTGCGTGCCTTTGTGAGACAGAGGCAAGTGGATGGCTGTGAGTTCGGGGCCAGCTGTCTACCAAGTCCAGGACAGCCAAAGCTACACAGAGAAACCCTGTCTGAAAAAAACAAAAACAAAAGTGCTATCCTACTATCCTAGGCAGAAGAGAGCAAAGTGAAAATCAAAGTATCTAGAGGTTGGGGTAACAGACATTAAAAGTTCACATTAAATCAGTAAAATAACTTCAGCAGGGAAAGCCTCTTTAAGGTGATATTGAAGCTGAAACCCAGTGGGAGTTCCTTGTAGAATGCAAGTCAAAGGGCAACAGAGAGAAAAGAGTTCAGGCTGCTTTAGGAGGCGTGGTGGCTGGAGCCAGGAGGATAGTGGTCTATACATTGCCATTATAATGTGCATCCATACAGGACCCCGAACACCCTTTTACCTGACGTTTATGTTTAAGAAAGCAATAGGGCTGGCAGGAGGCTCAACAGGTACTTAATACCAAGCCTGATTTTCCCCCAAGGAACCACACTTCAAAAGAGGAAAACGGATTCCTAAGTTCACTGACCACCACGTGTCGTGCAATACATGCACCCACAAATGTACACACATAATAAATAAATAAATAAATAAATAAATAAATAAATAAATCGTCTCTGGCGAGGAATTCCTTTAAAAAACAAACAAAACAAAAACCACCCAAAACCCGGCTTTCCCCCAGTAGCCATCAACTTCTTGTAGCTGCTCAATGCGGAGTACCAGTTTTCATGAGCCCTTACGCACATCCACGCTGGAATTTCGGCTGATTTGATACTGTCCATGCAGTAAGAGGTGAGTTCCTGTGTGCAACAGTTGTCATGTCTCACAAATACTGTTCTGATGCAGATCTCCATTACGTTTGGCTCTTAAAATCTTTTTGCTGAGTGTTGGGAGTAGCTGTCCCATTTATTTTATGTATTTTTATTTTATGTGCATTGGTGTTTATTTTTTAGGTGTGGTGTCAGATCCCTTGAAACTGTCATTACAGACAGTTGTGAGTCACCATATGGGTGCTGGGAATTGAACCCAGGTCCTTTGGAAGAGCAGATAGTGCTCTTAACCACTGAGCCATCTCTCCAGCCCGTGCAGTGGTGTTTTGCCTGAATATGTCTGTAAGTGGGTGTCCGATCCCCTGGAACTGGAGTTTCTGGTTGTGAGCTGCCATTGTGGATGCTGGGATTTGAACCAGCAGCGCTCTCTGGAAGAGCAGCCAGTGTTCTTAACCGCTGTCCCATTTAGGGCGAGCACTCTACAGTTTATTTTTCTCTCCCCTGAAAACTTTAATTTTTTAAAATTAACTTTGAGTGTGTGTGCCGTGGAACGCGTGGCGCGGAGGTCAGGACAACTTGGCTGGAGTCGATTCACCTTACGCCATGCGGGTTCCAGGGGTCGAGCTAAGGTCGGCAGCCAGCGCCTTTACCCGCCGAGCCACCTCGCTAGCGCGCCCTTTTTAAGTTTACTTATTTTTTGAGACAGGGTCTCGCTGCGTAGCGGGGCTGGGGACCTGGCGCAGGCTGCCGCGGCTCCTTACGTCCTAGGTGGCTAAGCCTGCGCCAGGCGCCCGCTCCCTCTGACGTCATTGACAATGAAGTTCTCCTCAAGGACTTGAGAATAGCCCGGCAGAGCGCAGAGTTAGTTCCTGCAACTTCCCGGAGAGAAAACAATCCTTCGCGAGACTTGGTGGCTGGGTCACTCGTCCGGGGCTTGGCGGCAGCTATCGCGAGATTTGGTAGGTGGAGGAGGGACCATCTCAGGCAGGCGCCTCACAGCGATGGCGGCCGAGCAGGGCCGGCGGCGGTGGCGGCTCCGGGTACCGCTGGAGACGGCAGTGGAGGAGCCAGTGGTGGGTGGCGGGGGCCTGTGACCAGGCGGTGCCCCCAGGCCCAGGCACCATGAGCCAAGGCCCCTCTCCAGTGGAGAGCAGCGAACCCGAAGCAAAGGTCCTCCACACCAAGCGGCTTTACAGGTGAGAGGGCCGGGGCGTGTGTGCAGCCGCGGCGGGGAAGCGGGCCGGCGAGGGGCGGGGCCTGCGGCGGGCGGGCCGGACGGGGGCGGGGGTGCAGCCCGGAGCGGGCGGGCGAGCCGGGAGGAGCTCCGGAGAATTGGGTGGGTGGGAGGTTTGAAGCATGGAGCACCTTGCCGCCGTGAGCGTGGCGCGGCGCGGCGCCGGGCTTTGCGGAATTGGAGAGATCCGGTGGGAATGGGAGGCTAGAAGGGTTGGCCAGGCGAGGATGGGGGTCACAGGTGGAAAAAGCCGGGAGGGGCTAGTGCTCAGAACCCTGCTGAGCACCAGTGGGTTACTAGAAACAGCATTGACTGAAGGCCACCACAACAGGTTCGTGTCCTTGATTTGCCCCTCTCGCTCTGTGACCTTGGGCCTCAGTTTCTTCTTCCTTAAAAGGAAGGATTTGAGTCTGGAGATGTGGCTTGGCCATTCAGAGCACCAGCTCGTTTTCTAGAGGACCTGTTTCAATTCCCAGGATCCGCATGGCAGCTCATAACTGTAACTACAGTTCCAGAAGATCTGAAACTCTGACACAGACATGTATGCAAGCAAAACACCAGTGCACAAAAAATAAATCTCTTAAAAAAAGGAATTTCAGTTTATATTTTAAAAAAAAGATTTGATTTGAATACACTCTGAAGCCCTTTGTGGCTCAAATATTGTGGACCCTGAATGATAAAAAGGGCCAAAGACTGGTGTGTTGGCTAGGAACAGCCATGAAGGACTTTGGGTCCCTAGTGTTCAAAGCACCCAGTGACTCAGTTCTTCCTTCCTTACAATCTATGTCCACAGTCTCTTGTGTAGGTAGAACATAGATCCAGGAGCTGAGTCACAGTAAGATGAAGAGACCAAGCTGAGTTTTCTGCCTTTTAGTAGGAAGTGGAGCTTGGGAGTTCCCGTTTACCTCAGGCCCTGCTGAATGGAGGGTGTTTGCCTGAGAAGAGAGCTGGCACAGTACTTGGTAGTGAAAGAATCAAGAGCTGGTTGTGTTCATGTGCCCTGCCTGTTCTGGCTTTGTAAGCCAGAAGGTGAAAGGGAGGACAGGCTCTTCTGGAAGAAGAAAGGTGATCCCCTGCCAGCAGCCCCTGGCCTCCCGCTGTGGGTCCCCAAGCAGTCATCCCCAGGCTGAGGAGTTCCCTGGAGATGGCTTGTGTAACTAGTAATGCTAAGTGCAGAGCTGCCTGTCAGGCACAGCGTGGGCAGTGTATGTGGTATTTCTTACTTGTCTCCAGCCTGGGGGTGGCTCTGGACAGTCTTCTGATTGTGTCAAGCCAGCTTTCTCACACCTTTCTTTCACAGGACTGACAGGTTGAGCTGGTGTGTTTGCAGTATGTGGCTTAAATGTATGTATGTGTGCGAATGGCTTATCTGTGATTGTATTGGTTTTGAGTCGGGTAAACGATTGAGCCAGTTTGGGTTTTTTTTTTTTTTTTTTGGTGTTTTGTTAGGCACTGTTAATGACAGTGGTGTGTGTATGTCACTGGTGATGACAGTCTGACTTCTGATAAATCATGTTGTGGACTGTGGAGCTGACATTGAGCTTCAGTAAACTGGGAAAGCCCCAAAGCTAGCTGTCTACAAATAGAGCATTTTCATATCTTTTAAGGCTGTCTGAAAAAAAAAAAAAAGAAGAAGAAGAAGCAGGAAAAGGGTTGCTGGGAAATCTACAAATACCAATTAACTTATTAGGTAGTTAATTCTGTAGTTGTTTTAAAAATAATTTCTTTATACAACAGTGATTTGAGTCAAGACTAATTTCCATAGCTTTTCAAGGGGAGATTATAGTTTCTTGAGGAAGCTTATGGTCTGAATAGAGAATGGGAAAGGGGTGCAGAGAATGAGAAAGTGCTCTCAGATTTAAGCATTTGTCCTTGGAGCTTTCTGAGACAGGGTCTCTCTGTGTAACCTTGGCTGTCCTGGACTCACTGTATAGACCAGGCTGGATTCCAACTCACAGATACGCCTGCCTCTGCCTCCCTGACTGCTGGGATTACAAGCATGCACCATCATGCCCGGTGTCCTCGGAGCTTTTTAGAGTGCTAAATATTAAGGTTTCTTTAAAAATTGAGAATGTAAGGAAATCTCTGGAACCTGTTCATAAAGATGCAACACTTGGACTGAGGGTATAGTTTAGTGGAGACCCTGGGTTCAGTTTTTTTTTTTTTTTTTTTCCTCTTTTCATTTTCCTGGGTTCAGTCTTACAGCAACATCAACAAAAAAATAAAACACCTACACTCTTATTACATCTTTCTGTGGCACTGAAGCCCCTTTGGGCTCAGGAGATGTAGACAGGACGATCACTTGAGCCCAAGAGTCTGATGACAGCAAGATTCTGTTCCCAAGAAACAAACTCACCCTATCCATGGGACTAAGCTGCTGCCCTTGGCATTGACGCCCAGCTTGGCAGGAAAGGCTTGGCTCTCC